CATAATATAGTAACGCTTTAGTCGCATTTTGTCCGGAAGGTGATAAAACAATACATTTTCGGTTGTTCGTCACTCATACGGTGATATTTGAAAGCGTTGCTTTACTCAGTAAAGCAATGCATCAGTAAAGAAAATGTGCCACCCCTATTACGTAATCATCTTTTACTGAAACAAAATGAGGCTACCAGAGCAGCTATATGATTTTTGAATGTACTATGATCAGTACACGGTGGGACTTGTCTAACATCTGCTGTTGAACAATAGAACACTCTAACATGAATGATACAAGTAATGACGACCAGAGCCATAATGGCCCGATAAGTCGCTTTTTGACTGCTATATTGGCGTACTTTTGCATTTCGGCTACTTGATAAATATCGGTTAATAGTGGCTATGGTAATGAGCCAAGTGGCTATGAATTGTGATGATAATAGTACGAAAACTTTTAATTTACATATTGCTTGATTATACACTGTTGGGTCCCAACCGAAGCCCAATGTTGCTCTTGCAAGTAAACCGACAAGTAAGGCAAAAAAATTGGCGATTGTTGAACAAAAGAATAGAATGACACACGGATTTTTACGCAACACTTTACGTGTAAACACATAAACGTTGAGACTATTACCAATCAAACCAAGTAGTAACATTGGCAATGAAGCATAACGATTCATTTGTGTTGTCATATCTCCCAAAAGTCGTATGATGGCTGTTGATGACATGATGCTTAAGTGATGATCTGAAACAGAGAATAAATTCAGAATCTAAAGAAGAATAAAGGTAGATCCGAATGCACCTTATTACAAAATGAGTATGACGTTTCTGAAGAAAAGATCTCATCATATTTCAAAGTAGCATAGTGAATTAGAAGATTTTATCATATATGCATAGAAGGAATGAATGATTTGGTGTCAGCCCATTTATAGCAATTATTTGAATCTCCAACATTGCTCTTATGCATCCTTAGTAACGAATTCTTTTGTAAAGTTGTTATCAATTGATGAAATGATAACAAACTTACAAAAGACGGGCCAGATATTGAACAATCACATTCAGCAGTGTTTGACCATTTGTACTGTTAGCAGCTTCCCATTGGCAAATATATCGAGCTACCTGCTCTTAATCCCAGTTGGAATCACCGTGGTGCAAATCACTATGGTGCATTTCGTCTGGCCGGCCTCTGATCGGCGAACGACGATGATCACCTTTAAATTATTAAAGCACGTGTTTATTCTTTTTCTCTCTTAATTACTTTTTGACACTGTGCTAGACAGTCGTATATACACTTTGTATAGTTCCTTTCATTCGAATGATAACAGGACACCCTGCCGAAATATCAGTGAATAAAAGTTACGTGTGATTATAATAATCATGTTCATAGCAGTATTGCACTTCATAAGTAGATTACTGATATTGACAGTCTAATATTTCAAAAACTAAGAAGGATCTTTTTTCTGAAAAATAGGTCAGTATATAGTAAAACTCGCACACTTCAAACGAGCACAAAAAGTGGAAACGGGTGCTCTCTAATTATTTTAATTCTAATGCTCGATGAAAATGCCTCTACATGAAAATAAATAGCTAACGATTGTTCTTCCTAAAGAGAATCTGAGTAATGGTCACAGTGTTTGAGTGAATAGGAATGAGTGCTATTCAGAATATACTGTTGCTAAACCAGTGACAAATATTGGAAATCCGAGTAATGCTCACAATGTTTGAGTGAATTTAAGTAGTTATCAAAGTCAGGATGTTTGTTGAAACCTATATAAAGGTCGGATAAGCTATACTTATCTCACAATTATTCAAAAATGTCTGCTCAATTCGTTGAATCTACGCATGGTAAAAGACAAGAATCGTGCCGCAATAATCAAATACACGACAACAAAATGTCCGCAAATACTTTTCAAAGGAGCTACACGGAAAGCAAGCTATACCAATACGTATTACGTATTTCTTCTATAATAAAATTCAAGACGTATTCTTCTAATATTCGAACAGATACGTATGAATCCATAACGTATCGGGATTGTGACATCCCTGCTACTTGTCTTAGCAAAAATTTTTATTTTGAGTAGCCTAGTGTGAGGAATGTCTGGATTTAAAAAAGAACATTGGAAAAGTTACGAATTCTACACAGACCAAGATAGCTGCAAGGTTGGCACAGTTCTCATTTTCTAGACGATATGGACTATCTGTCAGAGTAAGAAAATAAATGTATTGCTATTCAAATTTCTAAAATCAGAGCTGGTTGGCCAAAGGGCCGTTGTAAATCATGGTTCCTGGAACGCTTTTCAAACTTCTCTCATGAAGTGATCATCAAAGTGCTGGTTTGAAGGTGCTAAAACCTTATATTGGTTTAAGCTTTATTTATTTATCAAGGTTACAAAGAAGAACATGTAGCATCCGGCATTGAAGCGGATAAATCCATTATCTCAGTGTCGGAAGTTACTGTAGTTAATATAAGGGAAAAGTAACAAATGAATAGGTTAATAACATGAAGGTATCAGAGAAAGATTTAGGTAAAAAT